GGTCAGCAGGGCCAGCCTCGGGGGGCCCTGGGGTGGTCGGCTCCTGGTCCCCCTGGGGAAGAGGCTGACCCTATGGGTACATACCGGGTCGCAGGGCCGGCCGGGCCCCCTGGTGGTCCTGGCCCGGTCGCAGCCGCGACCCCTGCGACCCTGGTATGTACGCCACTGGCTGTAGGCCTAACTCACACACACTTGCAGACAACTAACTGCTATTCAATCTATTACAGTCAAATTTTTTTTTTTTAAATGTACACTACTGTTACACCAGATATGAGTTGCACTGGTGTGACACTGTGCCCTGGCAGGCCCTGAAACACACATGCGTGAAGAAAACTGACTGCTATTATATCACAGTCCAAAAAGTTTTGTTTTTTTTAAATGCAAGCTATTGGGACACCAGTGAGTGAGTGGTGGCACTGGGCAGGCCCTGAAACGCACACTCGTGAAGGAAACTGACTGCTATTATATTACAGTCAAAAAAGTTTTTGTTTTTTTTTTAATGCAAGCTTTTGGGACACCCAGAGGGGGCTCTAGACTTTATAAAGCCTTAGACGAAACTCAAACATGAGGCCCCACTAACAAAAAAGTGTCACATATACACATTGATGCACAGTTTGCCTGTGTATGTGCCTGAGAGTGTGGGGGTAGTGAGGCTGAGGGTGTGGGGGTGGTGATGCTGAGGGTGGTGTGGGGGTGGTGAGGCTGAGGGTGGTGTGGGGGGTAGTGAGGCTGGGGGGTGGTGTGGGGGGTAGTGAGGCTGAGGGTGTGGGGGTAGTGAGGTCAGATAGATCAGATAAGTCGTTCAGGACTGTAGTGGACACTGAATACACTAGCCTAGCTATCAATTTCCCTATCAAATCAGCAGCAGCTACACTGTCCCTTCTCTCACTAAGAATGCAGCTTCACAATGAATGTAAAAAGGATGCTGTCCAGGAGGTGGGAGGGTCTGGGAGGGAGGGTCTGCTGCTGATTGCAGGGGCGTATTAGCCGCGAGGCAAACAAGGCATTTGCCTTGGGCGGCATTTTCCAGGGGGCGGCAAAAAACGCCGCCCCCGAATACCCCTGCAAATACCTTGTTAGCCTCGCGGCTAAGAGACATGCCGGGCGCTGGCTGCTGGGCGGGCGGCTGGCTGGCGAGGGAGCACTTCCTCTGAGCGGTCTGCTCTGCTCCCTCGCGCGCCGCACAGTGAGGCTGGGAGCCGGAAGATGACATAAGATCTAAATAAGATCCCTTGCTCTTAATATATACATAGCCCTCAAAGGAACTATATATAGTATAGATGGACTCAACCAATTAAAATATATTTAACAATACAGGTATAAGCAAAAAATCATCTTGCCAGCTGCCCGCCCAGCCCAGCGCTGCCCGCAGCCACTGGACCACCAGCATTCCCAAAGGTAAAAGGGGGTGGGGGGGTGGTAAGTAAAATAAAAATGTGTTAATGTGAGTGTGTGTATATGTCTGTGAGTGTGTCTGTTAGTGAGTGTGTGTCTGTTAGTGTGTGTCTGCTAGTGAGTGAGTGTGTGTCTGACTGTGTGCCAGTGAGTGTGTGTTTGCCTGTGAGTGTGTGTGTCTGTTAGTGTGTGTGTGTCTGTTGGTGTGAGTGTGTTTGCCCGTGAGTGTGTGTGTGTGTCAGTGAGTGTGTGTCTGACTGTGTGAGTGAGTGTGTGTCTGTTAGTGTGTGTGTCTGACTGTGTTTGTCTGTAAGTGTGTATGTGTGTGTCTGACTGTGTGTCAGTGAGTGTGTGTGTGTCTGCTAGTGAGTGTGTGTTTGCCTGTGAGTGTGTGTGTGTGTCTGTTAGTGTGTGTGTTTGCCTGTGAGTGTGTGTGTCTGTTAGTGAGTGTGAGTGTGTCTGTTAGTGTGTGTATGTGTATCTGTCAGTGAATGTGTGTGTGTGTATTTAGAAGGCGGGGCAGGGGGAAAGGTTGGGGGGGCTGGCGCAGGCGGGGGAGGCACCTGAGTTTTGTCCTGCATAGGGCAGCACAAAACCAGGATACACCACTGGCTGATTGACTGGAATGTGTCTGCTGACTGTGAGGTACAGGGTCAAAGTTTACTCAATGATGACGAATAGGGGGCGGACCTATGTTCACCATCCATGGCGAACGCGAACACGCGATGTTCGCCAGGAACTATTCGCCAGCGAACCGTTCGGGACATCACTAGTTAACATCTACCAATTCAGGTAGAAGGCTATTCCATGCATCCACTACCCTCTCAGTAAAGTAATACTTCCTGATATTATTTTTAAACCTTTGCCCTGATATATGCCCCTGGTATGTGAGTGCTCCAAAAAATAAAATAATGACCACTAAAACACTGTACACCAATGCAGCAGCCGTTTTGTATTAGAGTTTTTTTTTTTTTTAAGTTAGGACATCTTATGGGGAGCAGGGATCTAGATCCAATATTTATTTAGCAAAAGATTTTTTACTATTGTCCAAATATGATTATTATATCAATAGACACTTTCTTGTTTTGTTTGATTTTAGTTTTTTGCTTATACCTGTATTGTTAAATATATTTTAATTGGTTGAGTCCATCTATACAATATATAGTTCCTTTGAGGGCTATGTATATATTAAGAGCAAGGGATCTTATTTAGAGATGCATAAGATACCTTTCATTAACATTTTTTGGAATTTCATTTGTACCTTATTTTGTTAATTTGGTGTTTGTTTATTGATTTTTATTTTTATTTTTTATATATTTTTTATTATTATTCTTTTAATTATTTTTCATTCTTTATTCCATCATGTGTCCTTAAGGGGTTAAGTCATACATACTAATTTATCAATCCGAAGAAAGTGTTTAAAATTATAGAGATAATTTTGGCCCTATTGCTATATGCCCATATGTTGTCCATCTTTTGCATGGACGCCTCAATTGTTATTTTGGAGAGATATTTTATTGTTATATGGTTATGCTTTATTACATTTATATATTTTAATATCTTTGGATGACCCCTTTACTGAGAGTGTGGAGTTCTCCCTCTCTAAGCCATTTTATTGGCATTTATTAATATTCTTAATTTTAGAGGCCATGCTTATGACAGGAAGAAGGTATATATATTTTTTGTTTAACACACAAGTGTATGTTTATATATTTTATTATTATTATTTTTATTGGTTTCCGATATCTTATAGAAATAGTAATGATTTAACCAATTTATGCTTTTAATTTACTTTTTTTATTTTATTTTCACTCTGATTGGAATGTAATTTGGAATTCATTTGTTAATTGATTTATTATGACCACTTTAAGAGAGGGGATGTGTATATATACCTTGCCCCTGGATAGTAGAACTTTGTCTTGAGAAAGTCCTCTAGTAAGGACGGCACACGTAGACGTGATTCTATCCTATTCTCTTCACTGTATCTCTAACCCGGTCCTTCATTTACGGTCCGGGAGTGATTTTTGGCAGCTGCTTTTGGCGGGATCGGTATCCTCTGCACTTCTTGTGTCCAGGAGTTGGTGTGCTCCCATCACCTTACCTGAAGGTCGGACGAACAGGGTAAGTTGCTCTGGCTGACCCCCAGAGTATTTTTTACTTGGGGATATTCTCACTGCAACTCCCTTAGTCCTGACCAGGTGGTTTGGCTGGTTTATGAGCTCCCTCCAGCAGAGATAGTGTATGAGTCTGGGTATTGTTTTTCAAATTGTTTCTACCTTCATTTTTATATATTACTTTTTATATGTGCACATTTCTAGTTCCAGTGGCCATTTAATCAGTGTAAGGGGCCCCACACTGTGCTTACTTCTTAGACATTTGCTCTGGACTTTTAGTGTCTTTATTCATGTGATACATTTTATTGCTATTGAGTCATATGTTATTATTTGTTTTATGTTTAATAAATGATGTTTTATATACTTTGTATACATTCTTAGTGATTGTTATTCACTTGTATTACCCTAGTGTTGTTATTCGATTTAGCTTGGTCCCCAACTACGGCTGCTGCTTTGGTGTACAGTGTTTTAGTGGTCATTATTTTATTTTTTGGAGCGCTCAAATACCATTTTTTATTATTCTTTTAAGTCGCTCTCGTGTATGTGATGCAGCCCCGTTTTTGGTGATTAATATTATTATTTTGTTCTTATTGTCAGTTACCTTACATTTGTTTTGACCTTTGCCCCTCTAATTTAAGACTATGACCTATTGTTGTGGTAGTTTTTCTTCTTTTAAATATGGTCTCCTCCTTTACTGTGTTGATTCCCTTTATGTATTTAAATGTTTCTATCATATCCCCCATGCCTCGTCTTTCCTCCGAGCTATACATGTTAAGTTCCTTTAACCTTTCCTTGCAAGTTTTATCCTGCAATCCATGAACCAGTTTAGTAGACCTTCTCTGAACTCCCTCTAAAGTATCAATATCCTTCTGGAGATACAGTCTCCAGTACTGCATACAATACTCCAAGGGAGGTCTTACCAGTGTTCTGTACAATGGCATGAGCACTTCCCTCTTTCTACTGCTAATACCTCTCCCTGTACAACTAAGCATTCTGCTAGCATTTCCTGCTGCTCTATTACATTGTTTGTCTACCTTTCAGTCATTAGAAATAATCACCCCTAAATGCCTTTCCTCAGATGTTGAGGTTAGGACTCTATCAAATATTCTGTACTCTGCCCTTGGAATTTTACGTCGAAGATGCATTATCTTGCACTTATCCACATTGAATGTCAGTTGTCACAACTCTGACCATTTTTCTAGTGTACCTAAATCATTTGCTATTTGGCTTATCCCTCCTGGAACATCAACCCTGTTACATATGTTAGCATCATCTGCAAAAATACATACCTTACCATCAAGACCTTATAAAGATATCAAGACCTTATAAAAATATTAAAGAGAATGGGTTAAAGTACAGATCCCACTGGTGACAAGCCCATGCTCCAAATATACTTAATTGACTAAAACCCACTGTTACCTGTCACTCAGCCACTGTCTTACCCATTCAACAATATTGGGATCCAAACTTAAAGATTGCAGTTTATTGATAAGCCTTCTATGTGCAACAGTGTCAAAAGTCTTACTTAAATCTAGGTAAGCAATGTCTACTGCACCACCCTGATATATTATTTTAGTTACCCAATCAAAAAAATCAATAAGATTAGTTTGGCATGATCTCACTGAAGTAAACCCATGTTGTCTCTGATCTTGAAATCCATGTAATTTTAGATGTTCAACAATCCTATCCTTTAACATGGTTTCCATTACTTTCCCCACTACTGAAGTAAGGCTTACTGGACTATAGTTGCCCAACTCCTCCCTACTACCTTTCTTGTGAATGGGCACAACATTTGCTAACTTCCAATCTTCTGGGACTACTCCTGTTAACAATGATTGGTTAAATGAATCTGTTAATGGTTTTGCTAGTACACCACTAAGCTCTTTTAATAACTTTGGGTGTATTCCATAAGGTCCCATTGACTTATTTGTCTTTACTTTTGACAGTTGAAATGGAACCTCTTCCTCTGTAAACTCACATGTAATAAATTACTCATTTGTCTTTTTTCCTCACTGAGGCCCCTTTTCTTCATTTTCATCTCGAAATACTGAACAAAAATATTCATTGAGGCAGTCAGCAAGACCTTTATCCTCTTCTACATACCGCCCTTCTTTTGTTTTTAATCTAACTAATCCTTGTTTTACTTTCCTTTTCTCATTTATGTATCTAAAAAATGTTTTGTCCCATTTATTTACTGACTATGCTATTTTGTCTTCTATGTGTGATTTGGAAGCTCTTATAACTTGCTTATTCTCTTTCTGCCTAATCTTATAGATCATTCTGTCTTCCTCATTCTGTCTTCCTCACTCTGGTTTTTTTTTATAATTACTAAATGCTAACTTTTTGTTTTTAACTGTACTTGGAGATATCTATGCAATGTTTGTGTTGTCACAAACAGCAAATATATTTCCCTTTAATTACCTGAAACAAGTGTTACATTTTTAAAATTCAAGAGTTATAAATATAATTGTTGTTTATGGATTCATAAAGTGCTTTTCTCACACGAGCGATAACTGTGGTCTGTACCCTATGCATTTTTATGAAAACATATATCAATCTTCCAGACTATTTGAGTTGCATTGCACAGTTTAATTATAAAATAGCTTGCATTTACACACAACAAAAAATTATCAAAAGTTGTAACCATCTTACTAGTTTCAAGGCAAATTTATCATTATGTCAAAAATGTGATTTACCAACAGACAACTATTACCTGCCTTTAACATTATAATAGATTACCCATCATTAATGTTCTTCATTCAAGCAGTCATGCATGAAAGCCTTTGGAAATCATCGTATTTTTCTGCAATAACTGAAGAACAATTGCCATATGTACATAGTAGAAAAATAAAACATTAGAAATTGATTTTTTTTTTTTTCAGTTTATAATTTTTTATTGAATTATTTGTAGAAATAAGCATAGCGGTTACAGAAAAGCAAGGTGCATGTTAGTAAGTATCACATATACTAGGCATCGTACACATTTGATACCAGCATGCACAATATTTAACATGGTAAAGGTAAAACAATGGTTGCAGGTTATGGCAGTATGTGTTATTACTTTACATTGTGTGGTCATTGTGCGTGTAGTAGGTATGTCAGGTGAAGCTGCGTTTTAGGTGTAGCTCCATTTAGTACTACAATTTTAGGATTTTTGCCTTGAGAGGCCTGCACAACCCTGCTTACGGCCTTCTCCTAGAGAGGCGTAATTTGTACCTTAACTCTGGTTGACAGCTAAGATAGAAAGGTTTAACAAAAATGAAGAGGGATATGAGGGAGGAGGGGGGTTGGTTTCTTATAAAGCCTTGCCGCGCCCTGCAATTAGGCTCAGAGCACTCTGATTGGTGGGTTTAAGCCATCCAATCAGAGTGCTCTGACAGGTAAATAAAGAGCCTGACAGGTTTGAAATCCACCAATCAGAGTGCTCTGTGTCATTTTACACAGCGTGGGAAAGTTCTTTGGAATTTTACCACGCTGTGTAAAATAACACAGAGCACTCTGATTGGTTAGCTTGAAATTCAGCCAATCAGAGTGCTCTATGTCATTTTACACAGCGTGGAAAAATTGCAAAGAAAGTGACTAGGGTTTTGGGGACCCCTTGTCACCTGGGGGGAATTTTTATTTATGGCCCCCACCCACCGCTCAGGGGTGGGGGCCGGGGGGGAGGACATTAGGTCCCCCCCTTATTGTTATTTAGGGCCCCCACCCGCCACGCAGGGGTGGGGGCCAGGGGGGAGGACCTTAGGTCCCCCCTGTTACGGTACCCTCAGCATTAAATGTACAAGCTGCCGTTTAGTGAATGCTCCCCTTTCGCAATAGCATAGGCTGCATGCGTATCCAGTACAATCATGTGAACCGCAAGCTAGGAAACACTGTAAACTCACGAACGGGATCCGTACGGGCACTTCACTCCACGAGCTCCAAACTCACGAATCGCCAATAGTAGCCCAACGCATATATCTCCCAAGCGGCTAATAATTCCATCCAGCAGTCTCTAGTCGTCAGTAATAAATCCCCCCAATAATGAGACCAAGCTCCGCATTGAGGGTAAAACAAGAACTGGCTTTACTGTGGGCTACCTGCCCATATTTATGCAGGTCTCCCACTTGGTGGACACTCCCCTAGGGGACCAAATGAGAGACTGTAACAATAGACAGACATATGGCAGGTTAGGACTCACAGACACAGAATATTCCCAGCATGCATTAGTATTTCCTCCCCTCTGCCCTGGAGATAATTGAGAAGTAATTCAATTATCTCCAGGACAGAGGCAAATCGCCATCTTAAATTCAACACAGAAAAACATATAAAAATACATAACTTTACAATTGTCAAATGTTACCCATTCGTATCACATATCCCCAGATAGCCTGGATCTGAGTGCATATTATTGTCGAATAGCGCTCAGATCCCATACGCATAGTTCAATCGCCATGGAGTCAAAGTCTATTACAGTCTTTTGGTATGCGATTGACTCCATGGGAAGGCTATCTGGGGTAAGTCCATTCGTGTGTTTAAACCTCCCGAACGGCCGGTGTTCGCACACTTTTGTCGATTGAGAAGGGAGGTCGGCGGCTTCAGCGGTGTTCGGCTGAAAAAGTGTCCGTTTTCAGTTCCATGAAATCAATGCTGAACACCGCTGGTCTTTCGCATGTTTTAAAATGGCTGCTGCCTCGTGGTCGACATACGAACGATGACCACCCTGTATTCGGTTTTAATTGAGAAGTGTCTGCGGTTAACCGCAACGTTCTAATTGGGATCAAGAGGTTAACCAGCAGCACACTTCTCTTCGGGGTGGCCGTCCGTTCGGTAGTTTTGTTCGGCGGAAAAGTCAATTCATTGAACAGGGGCATACGAACGGGTAATTCCATAAAAAGGCAAAACAGACGAACCAGCAATCTTAGTCTATACAGATGGATCTGTCACACCCCCCAATTTTTATTTATGGCCCTCACCCACCACTCAGTGGTGGGAGACGGAGGGAGGACATTAGGTCCCCCCCAATTTTTATTTATGGCAACCACCCACTGCTCAGGGGAGGGGGCCGTGGGGGAGGACATTAGGTCCCCCCCTTATTGTTATTTAGGGCCCCCACCCGCCGCACAGGGGTGGGGGCTGGGGGGAGGATGTTAGGTCCCCACTTATTGTTATGTCCCCCCAATTTTTATTTATGGCCCCCACCCACCGCTCAGGGGTGGAGGCTGGGCGGG